TGTGTTGGAACAGGGAAAAATAATAAAACATGCAGGATGGTGTTCCTCAAGGACCAGGATTGGGAACCACTGCAAAAGATCTCTTTATAGTAATTAATTTAATTTAATTATTATGCATCGCTCCAATCATCAGTAACATTTGTATTTGTCTTTATGGTTTTCAGACCGTTGAAGAAACATCTTTCAAAAAATCCCAGAGCAACATCCTCATCTGGAACATGGAACAACTGCAGTCGTCCATTTCTCAGGTTAGTCAGAGCAACTACCGGAAAATGTTGACTATCTTTAAGCTCTTTGTTTGCATACTTCAACTTTTCTTTGTGTTTTTCTTGCCCATAGAATCGTCTCCTGGGTCTGGGACTTCTGAGTTCGACTGCAACTCTTTCCCGTCCTCTCAAACCATGAGGTTTGGTCGAGGCAGATGGCTGCCCAACCTGATCCTGGTCGGCTGGAGGTTTCTACGGGTTTAAAACTGTCGCCTTATGAAAGGAGACTGAATCAAATTCAAAATGCAAGAAGTTGCAAATTGAATATTTGATTCAATCTGCTGGTTTCCTTTCATCAAAAAACCTTTGCAATTTTCAATAAATTGCTAAAAATGGATTTAAGTTGAAGTTTTTTTTGAGTCATAGTAATAAGACAAGAAAATAATCCCTGGCTTTAATGATATAGCACTTTTAATCATGTGCAAGAGCACCACCAAACTAATCTTTGTCAAATATTGATAAAATGACAACAAACAACAACAACAAACAACAACAACAAACAAACGAAAACAATGAAAACTTCAAAGAAAAAAGTAGTAAAACCATTTATAAAACTTACAAAGTGTAAAATCTAAAGTCAGGTTGGCTCTGAATTTAGTCAAATAGTCACAGCTTTGGACGTTAAAACCCTGGAATAAAATGACACGAGGATCCCGAGTTAATTAAGATCTTTGAAGAAAACAGAACGGCTCTCATGGCTGCAAATATCTTGGAAAACTGCTTGAGGAGACGCAGAGAAGAAAATCTGAAGGAGGCACAAGGAGGACCGGACACGACATGAAGCTCAACAATGGCAGACTGATGAGAGAAAGGAAACAGAGCCAACATGAACACAGGGTTCACAATATTTCATGAAAACTGATTTATCTGATGTTTTCCTGAGTAAATCCTGAAATTACAGGAGATTTTTCTGTCACACAAAATACTCAGAACTTATGGTCTTAGGGCGCAGCCAAAGGATTGTTGCAGTGAGAGATTTAACACTTGAGCATGACACAACTGTGTTGTTTGATTTCTCAGAGTGTGATGAACTGAAACCAGGAAGACTCAAGAGACCGAAGGAATTCAAGCTTCTTTATTGTCATTCACATCACATGTGGGACATGAGTTATTAATAACTCGTCAATAAAATATCTCTGTAGCGGATAGGGTCATTAGTTATGATTTATAATTTTATTAGACTTATGGGGCACCACCCTTTTTTTAGGGAATTGAAATATTTTATTAAAAACGGAGTCTCAAGAATAACCGAAGTATACGAGTTCTTTTCGTGCTGTTTTATCTTATTTATATTAAAACACACAAACACTGGTTTATGTTAGCCACCATTCATGTTACCTTTATTTTGCATATGGGCATATTAAAAACAGCAATAGTATATAAAAATAAGACTGTTAATATTGAAGGGAAAAACAAGATAATATAGCTTTTGAACTTTGAGAAGAAATGTTTATATAAAGTTAGACTAAATTAAAAGAGAAGTTCTATAAAAATCTGAGATTGGTGGATTAAAAATAAAGTACAAACTAATCTGGCACTTTGAGGTGGTCTTGGTGGGTGGAAGAAAATTGTATCTCCTACCAGAGATCATGTGTTCTTCTTCAGTTATTGTAGAAGATGCTGAGCAGAAAGGCAGCTGGTGGGTTTTAGTCTGTCCTGGGAGTGGATCCTCTCAAGGACCAGATAAAGTCTTGGGTTGCACGGCTTCGAGGGTTTTTCGGAGTTCTTTCGCGTGTCGACCTTCTCTCTCCTCTCCAAACACACATGACGACCTCAAAACAAGACAAGACGAGACTCCTCTGAGTGTCAGCTAAACTCATTTTAAAAGGGGGCGTGTCCATTTTAAAATCTTATCCAATCAGGGCAGCTTGAGCAAAGAGGGTGTGATCAAATCTTAAACTGCTGCCTTTATTTAATAATAATAATAATAATGTCATCACAATGTCAGTACTGTATGTTTCCATACAATGGCGAAATTAGTCTCTGCATTTAACCCATTCACCACTAGGTGGTGCAGTGGGCAGCTATTGAAAGCGCCGGGGGGGCATTTTGGGAATGAGGTGCTGCTCGGGATTATAACGAGTTATTTTCACTTACCATCGTGCCCTGTAAGCGACTAGTAATGTCTTGGAGCGGCGGTGAGTTTAAAAAACCTTATTAAGGACACCGGCTCTTAATGTGTGCGGCCGCTGTGAGCTCATCCGGGCTTACAGACTGGCTAAAAAACAGACACTTTGATCATTAATGATGATTTATTTCAACTTTCGTGTCACTTTTACACACACCCTCCGGAGACCGTCATTTTGAGAAACTTCTCTCTCATGAGCGCTGCGATTGTTTGCCCAGAGCGCTGTCTTGCAGGCGAACTCTGGGGAAACGCTGAGCTGTAGGTTGCCGGAGTGAAGAGGGCTGGATTCCGATGGGCGGGGCTGGTGGTGGAACTCAGCGAGAGCCGCGGCCGTGGAAAAGTCGAAGCTTGCTCGCGACGGTCCCTCCAGCGGGCCGGGATGGGCCGAGCGGCTTGATGAGGTGGCGCACAGCCTCTGGCACCTCCTCCGACTGTTTCAATTCGCCAGCATGGTTTGAAGCTGCTCTGAACAACGCGTCCGCGATGGGCTTCATCAGGTCTTGTGCAGTTTCTCCGGCAGCGAGGGGAGTAACGAAGCCAGGTGGATCGTTGGATCATCGTCATCCGCGCTGCAGTCCTCGACAGGCAAACCGTGGGAGAGGCACATATGTTGAGCTGGCGTCAGCTGCCTTACAGAGGGAGTTCTTTGTCTCCAAGGCAGGTCTGCGGCCTTCAGTCCCTTGGACATGCTATATGCTAGCAGCGCACGTTGTTGCTAACTGCGGCTGCCTGAAAATACATCGGTGGGCTCGATTGGAGAGCGTGGTCGCCGTCTGGTTCGTGTTCCTCCGGAGGGACGGGACGCTGCTCCGACCTGGGCAGCTTCGCACTAGATCCAATCAGTTCATTTGTTCAATAATCAGTTCATTGATATTAATCTGTTTATACTGTTCAATCATGAACCAGTTGGTTCATGCCCCCCCCCCCCCCTCCTCTTTTCAACATCTTCTCCCCGTTGAAAGTTTTTTCCGGGGCGTTCACGCTTTGTCAGAACGCATAGTTACACAACATGCGTCTGTGCATGGCACACAATTACGCGATGCGTAGTTATGCACATGGGGAGCTGAGTGACAAGACGTTTTTTGGGCAAGCTTCCGCTTCTTACTGTGTTCGAATGGACCCAGTGAGGCGAGGACCACATCCGCTTCGCCCTTAACCCATCAGCGACAGCCTTAAAGGGCGAAGCCTATATGAAATAGAACGTTGGTTACGTACTGTAACCCCAGATTTTATGAATATAGGCGTAGCCCTATAAGCGTCGGGCCTCACTGGCTCCTGAATAGCTGAAGAAAAGAATAAGCTATTTGGGAGCAGATAACCCGCTCTTAATGTAATTTATACGGATCGGGTGGGGCCCACACAGCAGGTGGGCGTGGACTAATTTTTTCAGTATGACGCTTGCGCATAACGGGATAAAAAAAATCCCCTGACAGCTTCTGAAGATGGGCTCACAAGGCTTACTATAAGAAATACTTGTTTTTGTTTGGTGTAAAGGCTAAATGCTTTTCTTTTGATTATTTGTTTAAAAGGGTTGTATTGGTTAGTTTTTATCCTACTTTAGTTGTTAATAAAGTCTGTGTACTTTAGTTTATCAAGCGATTTGTAAAATGCTATTTAACTCAATTGTTTGATATTAATTTTGTTATTGCTTCTGTTAGAAGTTATATTTGTATAATATCACTGGCAATAATTGGTACTTTGAAAGTACAGTACTCCATTTTTGTTAAGTTTTGTTTGTTCAACTGGCCAAATAAATCACTTCTACTATGTAAAACCTATTGTAACACCTCCCTATGCAAACTGTTTCTGGCTAAAGAACAAGCAGACTTCAGAGGAAATCGATCACAGGCTCACCATCACTCACCCCAAAAATAAATAAAGGTGTCCTAAAAACTAGTCATTCACATGCCAAAGGAGGGCCATCAAGATGGGGTAGAGGTAGGGCAGCCGACTCAGGCCCCAAAAGTTCCAGGTTTGATCCCCATGGTGTCCCTGAGCAAGTCACCCAATCCCTAATTGTTCCCCGGGCACTATATGGCTACCCACTGCTCCACCTGTGTGTATCCCAGGTGTGATGGGTTAAATGCAGAGAACTAATTTTGCCATTCATTGATGACAACACATAGCCCTTATATCAGCCAAATTTATATTATATCAGCCTAATTTATATTATAACAGCCTAATTTATATTATATGAGCCTAATGACCGGTCCTTAGTGCCCTCATGGCCACTGAGCGAACAAGTTCAGGCTGTTATCAGCAAACTGGTTGATCCACTATGAGAAGGTGCTTTCTATAAGACTGAGTTTGTTGCAGCTCCTCAGAATGAAGAAATCTTTTGGATAAAAGACAACATTTCAACAAAAAAAACTATCCAGAGGACCTGACTCAGCTTTGTTAGAAAGATAAATTAAATACATTTTTAAAATACTGTTGTCTCTCCTGCTCAACACCTCCAAATGTAAGACCTGGTGAGGACTGGACTCTCCTTAGTCCTGCTCAGTAGAACTTTCAGGATTCTAGCTCAGAGTAAAACCAGATCTTTGAGCAGCAGCAGGTGTTTGAGAGGATTTTGTGTGCCGTCCAGCAGGGGGCGCGTCACCAACGGAGGGTGGGAGGAGCGCGTTCCCGCAGCAACAGGGAAGATGGCAGCCCTCGCATCTCTCAGCCAGGTAACGATACCGCTTTTTCTCAGCGGCAGCTCCGCGGAGGCTCATATGACATGCTGGCGGGACTCCTCATGTTTCACCTGTGTCCTGAGTTGTGTGTGAAGGCAGAGGACCAGCGGGGTTTTCTGTGAACCGGTGTTTTAAATGAAGCTGTCAGCCGGAGGAGCAGAGGCCTGCAGTACCGTTAGGTAGCGGAAGGGTTAGCATCATCTGTCGATGGTTAGCATCTCCTGCTCGGCCATGTTGGTATTTATCTCCGCTGTGTACCACATAGGTCCGAGAAACGATGCCGTGGACACCGTTTACAGAACCAGAACCGCACTGAGGGACCCGGCTCGGTCTGCTTCAGGCTCCTGGAGCTAGCTTTTAGCTCTGCTGTCAGGTGAAGGGTGAAGAGGAGCTCCATCATGATGAGGAAGATGCTGAGTTCAGGGCAGACAGAGGAGACATTTTGCTTTCAGTCACGGGACTCTGGGTCCACGAGAACCAAACGGGACGATATTTGAACTGTATTTGTGTGTAAAAAACCAAGAACACAGAATGAGTCTTCTGGGGTTTATGAGCTGACAACATCGCTGTGTTTACACACGGGTGGACATTCAAAACACGAAGAAGCTTCCTCATTAATCACTGTTTCTTTCTACTGATTTCTAGAGAAAACATTTGACCACAAGTCATTAAAAACCTCTAAGAGCTGCAAACATTTCAACTTATGTTACAGCAGAAAACTACATGAGTACAATCTCAGGCAGCTCTGTGAGGAGCTCTGACAGGTGTGTTCTTGATAAGTTACTGGATAAACAACAAATAAAATTTACATTTTAAAGCTAAATTAGATAATAGAAATGACACAAGGACAAAATATAGTTCAATGCAATTTAAAAAATAAAATGCATATCCAGTTTTTGGCACATTTTTCTATGTAATAATTGTCTAAAACTTTATTGCATTTGTTGACGGTTGTTTTGTTGGGTCATTTATTTTTTCTCAATTATTTTGACTTTTCTGGTCTTTCATACAGAATGTTATTCTCCGCTGTTATCAAATACTTTGATCTCTGTATTGTTACTGTTTCTAGATTCTTTATTTCATAGTTTGTGTTGGCACTATCTGATTTTAAGAGTCTGAGCATCGTTGTCTCTGCAGCTGTCCAGTGGGAACCCTCTGTATGACACCTTCTACAGACAGGTGAGAAGACTGCAACTATAATTTTATTAACAGCTTTGTTTTATTTCTGTAAGACAGAATAACCACATGCGTCACTGTTTCTGCTTTAAGGTGGATCCTGGAAACACAGGGAGAGTCGGACCGACAGAAGGTGCCCTGTTTCTAAAGAAGTCTGGACTTCCTGATGTTACGCTGGGAAAGGTAGGGGGTCACAGTCCCACACTGGACACAGTCTGGTTTTCAAACAAAACAAACTTAAAGCAAGATTGTTACAATAAATACTAAACAAACGTGTCATTGTAGAGGTGTTATATCAGCTAATGTATCGTTCTTTCACACAAATTGTGGAAATGTTAAAAAGCAGCATTTAGAGGGCGTTCTGGTCACGTGATAGTTCTATAAACCACTAGAGGACACTTTGATGTAGATGAAGACAGAAACATGTCTGTCGTGTGTCTGTCTTGCTCACTGTTTGTGCTGACAGTTGTTGACCGGGGGCTGGGGGTGGGGAAACGGCTCAGCGGGAGGGGAAAGGAGCGCTACCTCTGTAGCTTTTTAGCTAGCGCGTCTGTATTGTACGCCACTAGCTTAGTGGCACATAAGTGCCGGCAGTTGTCATAAAGTTAAAGGGCTAAAACTGCCTTATTCAAATGTTCACAATGTGATGCTTCTGATGTGTTTTCATTCAACCTTTACTTATACAGGTTAGTCGCATTGAGCCTCGGGGACTCGTTTACAAGAGAGACCTGATTTTAACAAAGAGTGATGACAACAGTAGACAATCGAGCCTCGGGGACTCGTTTACAAGAGAGACCTGATTTTAACAAAGAGTGATGACAACAGTAGACAATCGTAACAAGCATACAAATTGAGAAGAACACATGAAAGAAAATGTTATTAAAAAAAAACAAACTAAACAAAAACAGCTAGGTTGTAAAGAGATGTAGAAAACTGAAAACAGGAACATGTCTGCATTGGTTTTTGCCATGAACTTAGCAGGTGTTTGAAGCCACTTAGAGAGGATGATGATTAGAGAGATGCCGATCGATTTCATGATCTTGTCTGTAGTTACAGAAAACAAAGTGAAGTTTTTGAGCTGCATGCATTCAGCTGGGCCTGCTATAAACTAAAGAATAGAAATAAATTCATTGTGAAATAATTCTTTATTAGATTCTTGAAACTGTATGTTACCTCGCTGTACAGAATTGATTGATAGCTGCTGCTGATTATGACTTCATAACTCTTTTCATGTCTGTGGTGCTGGTGAGACATTTTCATCAGTGATCAGTGTTTACACAGTCCGTGTGCACCAACATTTTCATCGCACAGAACATCTATGTGTTTCA